GAGAGAGAGAGAGAGAGAGAGAGAATGAGGGGAGGAGGAAACAGAAATACCAGAGGAAGGCAAATGACGTTTCGCAGCGAGCGAAACACTTTCGATTTGGCGAGGAGATCCCTTGCCCGCAAGGACGAGTTAGCGATTTTTCGAGGACGCTCGAGAATTCCTAAGTGTACTCCATGCGCATTCGCGTGTCGCGTTGGGCAGCTGGACTTTGGTGAAATACCTAACATGAAAATGTTCGGGATTGTTTAATTATTTATTGTGTTTTCCAGGAGAAACGGAAATTTCCACGATAGGTACTCTGATCGGTAGACGCGGGCGAGAACGAAAGGCACAAGTGCTGCATTCGCGCGGCGCCAACCGCAGCGTTATTTCCAAGCGCGCAAACGTGTTGCGGAGAAAGAAAAAAGTATTTGAACACCGCCCGACAACCTGTTGCGCGCGCGCGCACGCACGTACATATATATATATGTATACGCGTCATCGCTCGCGGCATTTTTGTCGTTCCTGGAGCGATACCTGCGCTGCGGTGGTTTCAGGGTTGGACGCCATCTTTCAGTGAGTTTTATGTCGAACAATAGCAGGGAGGTGACTATATGTTCTGATGTCCCCGTCAAAATCAGAGCCGTCGAAGGAATGTCATTTTACCTAATTGTTTTACAATAAAAAAATTAAGAATCTTCTAAACTTAATTTCAATGATACCATGCTGTTTTCTGATTTAATCCGATTAGTGGAAACTATAGTTGGTCTGTACAAAAGTCACATAAAGTGTTATATATTACACAAATGCTTTCATGAATTGACAGTTCTAGATACAAAAGGTGCAAAAAGTGCAGAATCACTCCTGCAGCATCCCCTTAACCCTTTAAACAAATTCATGAGACTTTCGTGTCCTAGCAATTTTTGTTACTACCCAGCAAACACCAAAGTAACAGTTACATAACATCAATATAAATGTAATATAACACATGCCTGTTATATTACATTTGCATTGATGTTATGTAATTGTTACTTTGGTGTTTGCTGGGTAAAGATTTTTTGAAATAAATTAGTATGGCTCATATGTGTTAAACACACAAATTTCAAGAAATAAAGGACTCAGAGCCGTGACAGGGTGGTAGTGTCTAAATATTTTATTCCAAGTTTATTACGAAAAAATATCACCTCGGCCTGGACCTCCCTCTCGCTAGGCGGGCGTCTCAACCAATTCGACCACCGAGGCACATGGCAATACTCGTCGCAATAGACGGTCTAATGTTGATTTTCCAGGGAGGTCCAGGTTCAAACATATTTTTCGCAATAAACTTATAATAAAATATTTAGACACTACCACCCAGCTGTCACGGCTCTGAGTCCTTTATTTCTTGAAATTTTTTGAAATCTTGCACAAGTTGTAAGCGGCTTTTTTGTGAGAAAAGAGCTATAGTGCGTGGGGATACTTGAAAGCCAAAAGCTTGATGTCGGTGTTTGTTTATACTTAAAATAATGTTTTTACCAATCTTACTATTTGGACAATTAACTAACATTTTAATAAACTTCCTTGAATTTTTTTGAGTACGTTAACATTATTTAATAAGGCGTCGGCTTAAAAGACTCATGTTCTGTTTATATTGACGGTAAATAACAGTATGTTTTGAGAGTTAAAGTCTCGCTCAGAACGTACTACGTATTTAAAATATTTACCGATTATTCTGTTCAAAAAAGTATTAAGGTAAGATGATAAAAAAATGAATATTTTACAAGATATTTTGTAATTTATGTCAAAATATTGGAACTTTTAAACCTTAATAACTCAAAAAGTTCTTAATAAAAAAGTACTTTATTATAGCGTTTTGGAAAGCTTTCGAGGTAAGCTATAAGAATATGCAATAAAAAATAGGGGGTCCCATTTAAAATTTTTAACCCCCCTTTTACCCCCGCGTACCTGGGGAAGGAGGATGATCGGTATCCATGTCAAAAGATAGTTTTTTTGAAAAATCAAAATATGTGTTTTACCGTTTTTTGATATTTTCATTTTTAAAAAAATTATTTAGAGGTTTCCACACTTTTGACAAACCCTGTATAATATCTTTGACAACAACAAAATTCATAGAGTTTTTAAGATAACTTTTATACATCCTATAAGACATGCTCTCCGAGCGACTTCTCTCTCCTTTTAAGAAATTCGCATACTGTGACACGCACGATAAAAAAAAACTCTGAAAGAGATACGAAAGATAATCGATCTGTACACTTATGGGTGGAAAAACTATGGCGCGGAATGTAAATCTATCTCGAGCCTCGCATTCATGTAAAAACGAGCAAACTGTAATTAAGAGAATGCAAAAATTTGATCGATACTGGTTATATAAATTACATTTACAATTATCGACTCGATAATACACTGCCACTCCCGATGGAGCATCATTATCGTTTGCCGTATTAACTTACGGTACTGTCGATCACACTGACGCACGCGGCTGTGCACGAACATCGATTTCTATGTGTTTTACTACGGCACATGCATATGTACAACACGATAGCCTTCTGGTGAATGCGCACATCTAGATTATTCACAGATGCTTAACTGCGCGGTAGACGCACGTGTGTATTACAGGCTCATGAGTCATTATTAACGTTGAGATCGAGATGCGAATGTAAAATTGAAATCCTCGAGACGAGCGAGTTGCCGAGGCGCAATTTCCGATGAATCTAGAATATAGCCGCGTCGATGAATTTCCACATTATAAATATATTCGATTTATATTAAATAACTTATTACTTTATTCCTTTTTTTGTGAGAAGCAGAATAATAACATTTTTAATGTTAAACAGGAAGAACCCCCGTTTCTTTGTCATACTTTCGACGAAATTTTATATGTTACATACAATGCAAACAAAAACGTGTAATACACGTTTTGCTAAAATTTTCAACATCGGCCAAAATGATGTTAATCAATAATTTTGAGATGCCGACGTATTATCCATTTCATTGTGAAAATGTTTGTTTAGGTTTACTTACTGATAAGATACACGTACATACACATGTATTTATAATTTATTTTAAAGATTAGCATTTTCCTCGTTTTCAGCGCGCATTTTCAGGTTTAATTTTTTTTAAATAAACACGCAATTGTGCTCAAGTTTAAAACGAACGATTCGACGGTTACATTTCCAAATTTTCAAACGAAATAGAGCACACTGAGGCACAGAATAATGTAATAATTGTAATGTGTACAATCTTAAACATATTCTTGGCCGCCTAGCTTCTATTAGCGCGATTACCCCATCCGCGACGATGCGTGTCTTTATATTCATCCATCGCACGAGTTCGTTCGAGATGTTCGGGATCGTCTTTCTCTTCCATCTCCTCCTTCAAAACGGCTTCACTATCTTCATTAGTTGCACTGGTATTTTCGTTGGCCGCATCTTGCAGACGCCGAGAATTTGTTGCGTTATGTTGCGATGGATCGGGCCAGCTAAAATGACACAAATTCCGTGTTCAATCACCGGATTTTCTCTCAGGTTCAATTTAATGAGAAAGATACTCGTTGATTACAATGCCCACTTACTCTCCATCTTTGACTCTTTGCTCGTAGAACTCTTGTACTGTTAAGACTGGTAAACTCGGATAGCCTGCGCCAAAAACTTTCTTCTCAATCTCATTACGTGTAATGATTATGGGTTGTAATTTTGGACCTGGCGTTCTGTGCTTTTGAGTCTTTTGTGATTCGGAAGCCAAAGTATGCATCGGTCCCATTTCCTTCATGTTCTCCAAAATTGTCTTTTCTGTCTTCAACAAGTTTAAATCTTCAATGATTCGGACTGCATACAACTTTACAAGAGTGATAAAGTACTCTCTCTTGGTCTCATCATCAATGTTTGGATTATCCAAGTTTTTCTTTAAAGTATTCAAACGAGATTCCAAATCCTTCTCCTGTTGATACTTTTGTAATTTTACATTTCTACGAATTACCTGAAAAACAGACAAAATTAAAATATAATTATTATATTTTTGTAACAATTTACAATGATCATGTGGTAAAAAGAGTCAACCATATCCTCTAACATCCTTGATGAAGATTGCGGTGTATTTTGACCATCTCCTGCTTCCTTCCTGTCATCAGTTAAATCGATTTCTGGTATTTTAACATCCGTCAGACCATATGCTTTCAGTCGCTTTAAAAAATCCACAAAATAGACTTCTGCTACTTTAACCAGATGCATCCTGTCATCAGTAAGGCATATCTGATTGGTAAGCTTGCCCAACAGAGCCGGTAATAAAAAGTACTTGATATTTTCTGTAGCTATTTCCTCGAAAGTTTCGTTATCACTGAACATATCCACCATAGACACCAGTCTCGTTGCATCCTCAAACATGTGCATTGTCCGTTTTATGTCCAACTGCGACAAGGAAAGACCAAAAAATGCTATAATTTTTGTTGTATGCATAACCAGAGAAAAGTTGTACTTTACATAGAAATATGTATGTATATACATATATGTATATACCCAATAATAATCTGACACTACCGCGAGCTTTTGCAATTCCCTACGTGGCGTCTACAATGAGATTTTAAGATGCAAGATTCCAGAAATTGACTAATCAGAATCGAATGTAAAGCAAATATAATATAATCGCCTGCTTACATTTTCTTGCACAAAAACAAACATCCATTAAAGACTATTTTTTTCCAAACGATAAATTGTTTTGTACCAAATAATAGTGTGCAATATTTAATTATATGTATCTGTTTTATTTAATATAAATAAGTTTAATTACATACTTGACGATTATACCTATTATTATATTAATGTTTTCTATATTTCACACATTCCAGTTATCCGATAAAACCATTAATCCAACACTATCTAGTTATTAATAACAGCGAATTAAAGAGATGTACTGTATATGTACATATGCCCCGATAGGAAAATATTTAGCAAATTATGTGATGAAATCTGGATAAAACTTGGAATGCTGGAATTATGCGTACATATGTCGATCTACGTTTGCAGAAATGGAGACCTTTCATCAAATATTAATAAATATATGCACAATATATTTCTAAATAGTATGTCAATAAAACAGCTGCGTTTTGGCGAATCACCTTGGTAGAATATCTGCACAATTAAATTACTGTCATGTTATAACGAGTTACCGCTATGAGGTGTCTCATACTCGAAAGTAAAACTCACGCGAGACGTGAGATAAAAGCAGGCCTAGCGGAAAATATGTCCCACGCTAAATCTTTTTTAAACATGTATTAATAGTAACGGTGTTGCTGGGCAATTTTGCTTCTAAATATTGAAATAATTGTGCACGATTTATTAATTTTAAGGTAGCTGTAAGTTATATGCAATTGTACAAGATTGTAACCTTAAGGGGAACAATAAAGAAATTACTACTACTACTAATTGTGCACGATTTATCTCCTAAATTGAGATTATAAATTTTGGGGTAAATACCATTTAGGAATTTTATTTCTACAAAACCGCCGCGGTTTGGCGAATCGCCTTAATGTAATCATTGCGAAATTTCTTCTTCTTGGATGATGCAACAATTACACAATATTTGAGACATTTTCCTATCAGGGTCAAAAGTATTTGCCACCCCTTCAATTCTTAGAAATGTAACTTCTTCTGGCTCTAACCAACTGTTTTGTATATTGTATCTGCATGCTAAATTGAATAACCCGAACAAAGAATCACATCATAAACATGCAAGAACAAGTCGCAAAACCTTACAGTAGTAAACTTGAATTTTGCTTGTAAGTGATTAAGCTTCTAATCGACCATAACTGGCGTCAAATAATTCTTGATGTTTGCTTGCAAGTATTTAGTTTACTGCATACGCTCAAAGTGCACATTGCTTAATTATCTCCAACTTGTAATGACTTACTCTAAAGAATATTATTTTGCTACAAAAATGCCAAAAACGTATGAATTGGATTTAGCTAAGCGTTTGAAAATACAATTACTTTTTGAGGAAGGAAAAATAAAACATGAATCGCAAAAATAATAAAATGTCCTCACAGTACTGTGTGATACACCATAAATTGTTCTAAAAAAACTGAGTCATCAAATGATATTGTTTATTTAACCTGAATGTAAAATAATTTAAAGTTATCGAAGTTGACGTATTTTTTGCCAAGGCTGTACATATAAATACACACACATATATGGCGTGACAATTAATGTTATTATTGAAAGACGTTTTAAAATCTCACCTGTACTTTCGAACTATTTGTTGGTTCTGTTGTATTATTAATACTGTTGAACAGCTCAAAAGCATTGTCAAATAACTCGGACAATGTCGCGGGATCACTTCTATCTTTCCCATAACTCAGGTCCTTTGACAAGATTTCTTCTGACGTCATTGTTGTCAACTAATAATTTGTTTTTGTTTTTTTCATTATTTCCATATTAGACCGCACTAGAACTACGCTTAATACTTTTTTCGCAATCGCCAACAAATATATAGAGTGTAAGTAAATACGAATGTATACATACACTAATACGTACAGGATCTCGATGGAGTTATCTTTCTTTTTCTTGTCCTAAACGGCACTCACGCTCAGGTCCCACACCGGACCTGAATAACCTGAAATCTGAAATCTGAGGGTGCGTTCCGAATTACGCATGTGTTGTTGGTCTGATTCAGTCTGATTGTTGGCTCCCGATCCACTCACTGGATCGACACGGCCGTCGGCCACGAATTAAGG